CCCGCGGGGAGGACGGCCGCTGCGTGTCCTCGGAGCCCGGCTGTGGCGCCGTGCTCTGTCCCTCGTCCCTCCCGCAGCCTGGCTCTGCGGCTCGCTCTCGGGGAGGCCCACGCGGAAGGGTCGAGAGCCGCCCGGGCAACCTGCTGAGACACTGTCTCTCCCAAAAGCCCCGGAGAGCTGAGTGCGGTGGGTTTGGCTGTCGTCTCGGCCACTCGGGGGATGAGGCGGAAGGATCTTGGCCAACAGAGTGGGACCCCGACTCAAAAAACAAAGATAAGGTCAGAACCAAGCTAGGGGGCTGTATTCGCCTCCAGTGGAGACGCCTGTGTGCTCAGCACCAGAAACTTCCAGGCTCGGAGGGAGGGAAGTCGAGATTTGGGGCCGGGGTCAAAGTTCCTCGAGCTCCCTCCCTCCGCTGGTCATGCCCAGGTGCCTGAAGTCAGCCCTTCCAGAGGCTGCTTTGAGCAGCCAGTCTGAATCCGGAGAGCAGCTGGGCCTCTGACCCTGATCTGCGCTACTGCCCCTCCACCCCCATGGTCTGATCTGACCCCTGGGTGGGCCGGAGAACAAGCTTCTCCCTGCCAGGCAGGTCCTGTGGCCAGGGACACTGTCCTGGGTGCCTGCTGCCCACCTACCCACCCCATCTGCTCAGGAAGTGCCATGGACTTGGCAGCCACGGGCAGCAGGACACTGGCCGTCCTGATCAGACACCACCTCACAGCGTCTCGTCTGGGGCTCCTGCTGGCCCGTGAGGACCCAGGGCTCACGTGTGTCTTTCTTCTTGGGTGGCCAGAGGGGGCTGTGTTGCCCCAGGGACCACCCAATTGTGAGGGTCCTAGCAAGTTCTGCCTCCAGTTCCCTTTGCAGCCTGGACTGGTCCCTCACTCTCTGGACCTGCTCTCTGCTTCTGTTAAAGCAGATGGTCTTGGGGCCCTCAGATGGGCTCACCTCTGGTCCACCTTCTGCGTTTGCAGAAACAAGGCACGGCTGATCCGTACTGGTGCAAAGTGGTGAGTGGGTGTCCAGGTTCTGGGTTTGAGTGCCGACAGCTCCATGACCCAGCCTGGGCGAGTCCGGTCACCACTCTGAATCTCAGTATCCTTTTCTGCAAAATGGGTGGTAACTGTCCCTACCTCATAGGGCTGTACTGAGGGAAGAACAGAGGGACAGGGGAGAGCATGGTGCCTGGCACGCGCCTGGTGACTGTGGTGACAATGACAGTGCCAGAGGGGCATGGAGCGATTGTCAGCTGGTGCTTCAGGAAGAGACCAGGGCGGCTGGAGCCCCAGACCAGACGCAGAAGCAACCGGGCAGGATTTGGATGGGGGAAGGAAGCAGATGGAAGGGAACGGACTGATGTCAGGAGGCAGGGATGTCAGTGGCATCAAGACCCTGGTGGGGACAGCCAGAGCAGGGTGACTCCCTCATGGAGGGGATAGTCCAGGGGCTGGATGGACACACTGGTGCTGAGCTGAGCCCATGCTAGTGCTAGGTGCTCAGCAAGGAGCAGGAAAATCAGAAGGGAATCCTGCTGGAACAGACGTCAGGGGCTTCCCTGGCCACCAGGGGTCCCCACTGTCCTGCTGTATGGAACTCCGGAGTTTGTTTTGTTTTTAGAGCAGCTTTGCTGTAGTGGCTATGATCGCTGGAGCCCAGCAGGCGAGGCTGCGGTGGCCGGGAGCGGCCACTGCACTCCAGTCTGAGCGACAGAGTGAGACTCCAACGCGAAAAAACAAAACAAAGCAAAAGAGATACCGCTCCTATGATTTGTAAACAGTGCTCAGTTGCTGAGAACGTCCATGTGCCTC